TTGAATTACTTTCAAACTACCAGACATTAGAGAAAAAGTATAGTATTGAGATGTTAAAGTAGGAGGGTCATTTTGTTGACTGACCAAGACATCAATACAGGGGTGATGTCTAAATGTCAGACAAGGGTGTCTTTTCATCCCCGCTCTCTCTGATTGTGAAGGGTGACGGCTGGGGCTGGGGAGAAGTGGACGGACTTCACCTTCTTTCAAACACCTCGGACTTGCTGTCACATCCCTATTTGCTTCCATACGAGAAACCCAGAGACTGACAGTGTTGTGTTTGTTTGCCCAACAAGACTGTGACCACATTTTGCAATTGAATCGCTTGGTTAAAACATAGTGTTTCTATATTTATGCAGTAAAAAGTTTTAGATTGGATAAAAAAACACAGCTTAACAGCTTAATTATTTATAGCTGAGTGCATCTTTTAACGAATCAGATTTACGATAGAGTATTTGTGTGATTATTTGAATTTGGACCAATATTGGTTAAATTAAAATTCTGGTACACATTTATGTTAAAAATAAATAAATTAAGGACACGTGAAACATTTCCCACGTACAAGAATATTTTATTCTCAACAATCCAACACAGTAACTAGCTAGATAATTCATACAACGTGGAATTTTTTTCATGGTGCAAGAATGGTTTTGAATTGGTAGCTTTATACTCTTCAATAGGCTTTGCCATCTCCAGTGCAATGTTTACGGTGCAACAGAAGGCACAGAGTGTAATCTGTGGTTCACAGAGTTTATATCGATTGCTAAATTAAACTAAATTCAAATCTACCTAATGATAAAGAAATTTGACGCTGGCTTAATGAGTTTCGTGGTACCGTAGTGTTTTGAAAAGACATTCACCTGGCCGGCTAAAAAAATCTATTGCCCGACGAAGTCTTCAGTTGAACATACCTAAATCAACACTTCATGATGTTATCTGTAAGAGATAGAATCTTTATGCCTAAAGGGATCCAGTTAGGACAGCCAGTTTTACGCCCATATAAGATTGATGAAAATCTGAATTTTATTAAATTATTCCCAATTGTATCAAAGTATGAAAAATAACTTCGTTCTTTTCCCTTCAATTTGATGTTTAAATTATTTCTTGAATAGGCCCCGAGCAACGACCCTTTTAAAATTCCCGCATTCTTTTATAAACACCCTAATAAGCATGGTTGGTCAGCTGGATTCAATATTATAGTTTTTATTATATTCTAGAATAACCACTACATTACTAAAACCATGTACTGTATGTATTTAATTGATCCATATCACAGGTTCAGTAGGAGTAGGCCTACCCTGGTCGCAGCTTCTACAGATATCGAGTCGGAATTTACATATTACTGTATCTAGTAATATCGCTGAGATTGTAGCACTGTATTATCCTACATTGTGCAGGACCAATAAACTAATTTAATTTAAACAACCATAGGGAATCAAGTGATAGTACGATAGGTTAGGTGATAATTCTTTTGTATTTAATTTACATTTTACTTATAAGGTTCCATGGTGTAACGGTTAGCACTCTGGACTCTAAATCCAGCGATCCGAGTTCAAATCTCGGTGGAACCTTAACATTTTTATTTGCCTTTAAATTGATGTAAGACATTATCGATCTGAATTTATATTATTTTCCCCACGTGAGGTTCTTGGAGTGGAAAGAAATTTATATATATTAAGGGGGTAAAGGAATGGTTATCATTTGTCAACTATGTGGGTGTCTGGTGTAGACAAACGAGACTGAGAGAGATGAAAATAGAAGTGGCAATGAGTGGAAAAGAGACAGAAATAGCTCAGCCATGTGGAATTAGACAGAGACAGAGACAGAATGCTCCATGTTTCGTGAGATAGAGAGAGAAAGAACATTACATTTCAGAGCATGTGGCCAGAATAATAATAGTGGGTTGATTGCCTTTTTCACTGGGATTCGTCCCTTGAAGCTTAGATGAATAGCTTACGATTTCTCTAAAACTTATTTCCTGTAACCTCTGACTTTTGTTGATTGTTTATAAGCTATTTGCAACGTTTAAAAAGTTTGTATGAATCCCTGATCTTTCTCATGTATCCATAATAATAAAATAAAATAAATTATTTTAATAGTAATAAATAAATTATTTATTATTACATCATTTAACGTAATAATCAGATTTGTTTGGTAATTAATTATGACATTAACAGTATTTTTACAAATATAATATATACAGTACTAGCAACAGATAAGTTGAGAGTACTGTATTATCAATATATCGATTATGGAAATTGTTTAAACTATCAATTTTTGCCATTGGTTTGTCACGCCCCTACAACTCTTGAAACCATTTCAGCTGGGTGTACTAAGTAAATAGAGCTAGATCGAACTCTATATTTTTAACATTTCGTAAATATTACAGTGGTTTTCAGTTCATATTGTTCTATCATCAAATATTTATTTTATAAAAGTATTGTAACAACAGTGTAATGTTGTCAATATAACATCTTTTAATTTTGTAATTCACTGCAGTACTGATATGTGTGCCTATAGCACAATCCATGGATTAATAAAACCTTATTTGACCTTTAGGACCTTCATTTTTGCTTGTTTATGGAATGGATATATTTTTATCAAACTTGGCAAATTTATTTATTTTGTACTAAGCTATTAATATTTTACTAAAAAACCCACTTTACTAGCCTCCCTGTAGCAGCAAACCTAGGTACTCGTTTAACCTAATATTATTTAAATAGATTTAATTGTATATTTTATAGATTTATTGTATTAAGTGTAACTTAAGATTTGAGAGTTGCTTTTGTTTTATATTATTTATTTATGTTGACGTGAGTTGTTTTGAAAAACATATGTTGTAATATGAAAAACGCTCAAGAATAAAGACGATTTTCATTTCATTTCATTTCATTTCATTTCATTTCATATATCAATTCAAGCAAATGGAAATTCGCTTAGTCTGCAGGTTTGCTGTGGCGAGGGTATTTATTGCTACAATTCAAGCTATCCATTCACGATTGATTATGGCTCGATTTGTTCGTATAAGGATGACAAAAAGCCTTTTCAAAGGCGTACGTTTTATATAGGTCAAATTATGACAATTTATTTGATAAAACATCAGCAAGAAACATTGCCATACAGTATTGGCGTAACTGCCGCTTAACACAGTCTTAAGTGTGATAGATGACTTATTAACTCTGTATATTGCCCCAATGTTACGATAAATAAGCGTTTGGTAAGCTTTTAGGAGCTGTAAACGAGAACGTATGTGCTTCTATGTAATCAGGCTCGTTGAAAATAAACTTCTCTCAGTTAGTGGTGAAGCCAGTAATGAGAGTTGTATTTTCCATCTTAATACTTTTAACAATAACTAACCCATTATTATATATTATAGTTAATACATAATTAAACCCTTTAAAAATAAACAATATAATTGGTAAATGTTTCATTGTGTTATTAAGATTACCAAGAAGAGCTCTTACCACAAATTGTCGTTAGCCACGTAAAGACCTGCTTTTACCAAGGGGTTTCCTGATTAATAAGTTAACATAATATGTTTTTTTTTTTGTTTCCCCAATTTAAATTGTTAGAATGAAAGTTAATTCTGTTAATTAAATGCTTTTGCTTGCCACAACACTCTCTGGCTGATAACCAAGATCATGATTAAAGAGCCAGGGCAAGACGATTCACTGGCTTAAGGTCTTTAACGTGACGATTTTATAAATTAAATTAGGGTTTTTTGTTTTTTTACTACAGTAATATTTCCATTGACGTTTTCTCAGTAGAAGTTCACGTTCATCCGTAACATCACAAACGCAATTGGGGCGAACTGCACAGAACAAGTTTACATACTTTTCTTAATAAAACTATAGTGTTAGATAACTAAATGCGTCGCGTTGAATAAAATTGAAAAAAAACATGAAAAATAGGATAGGGCTTTTTAATGAACTGTAAATTATAATAACAAAGAAACACATGGATAGAACAGATGTTAATTAAACTAATTAATTAACAAATGCAATTAATAAGTTAAGTTTATTAAGTTAAGTTAATTAAACAAATGCAATTAAGTTAATACAATTAAGTTAATTAAACAAATGCAAATGTCAACTTAGAGGTTATTATTAAGTAATTATGGGATTAGTTATGGGAGAGAGTATGAAACATACCGCCCGTAATAAAACTAGTTTCTTTTATCTCAATTAATTCTTTGGTTGGAATTACTTAACTTTAACTGGTTTGTAAATTTGCAACTAGGACGATTCCATATTTACTAGGTAGCAAGTGTTTAGTTTTACCCCGGCCATTTTTCAAGTAAGCGGTGGACAGGTTTTATTCTTTGATGATGATCAACTTTCCTTCTTGAATATTTTGAGTGTGGTTTCCAAGCAGTATCATGGTATTTAGGGGATTATCTCCCTATGAGTCAGGATGGCCGAGTGGTCTAAGGCGCTGCGTTCAGGTCGCAGTCCACTTCTGTGGGCGTGGGTTCGAATCCCACTTCTGACAAGTCATTTTTTTAACCCCTATGTTCGTTTTTGTCTCAAAATTATACACCTTGTCGATCTATGTACACCCAAGTTGACTTATGATCACCATCACTACAACCGTGCCAGCTTCTTTAGACTGGTTTGAAGTCTAGTAACGCCAACTTGTGGCAGCTATATTGCCATTATTCTATTATTCTAAAGTATAAGCCAAATATTTAGAGTATTCGAAATCAGTAGGATTGTTAATACTGCATTTCTCCTTTTCAACTGTACAGATAATCTAAAACTGTAAAGTTTTTATAGATCATGTTAACCTATATTCAGTTAAGGCAATACACAAACGATGAACATCTAAATACGGCTACATTGGCTTTGTATTATGTTACTCTACAAGTCAAGACGTTATAGGAAGTTTACTTTCGGTAGTGTTGACAAATGTAACTAATCAATTAGTCAAAGCGTTGTGAATGCTCTATTATTTTCAAGACATTACTTATTTATTCACTAACAACGGATGCTTCTTCACAGGAGGGCCAGAGAGGGTACTTGGAGGGACTGGCCTCTAGGTACGCCGATCTCTTCAACACGCACTACCGGGACGTCCTGGACCACTTGGAGGAGTTGAGGAAGCGGGAGTGGGCGGAACTTTCACCCAGGATACGAGTCCTGGGCACTCCTTCTACCCCTCCAGGTCCTGCTCCCTCTACTCCTCTCACACGAGTACCTCTGACCACCTCCCACTCGCAGCCCATCTACGTGCCTGGAAAATACTCGGTAAGCCCCATACGATGTAGTTGGAGTTTATTATCTTAAAATACTGTAGTTCTTACTATAGCATAATTTTTACTTTACTTATACTAGCATTGCTATAAGTTTGGTTTTTTTATCATACAGTGAATTTTGACCTTAATTGATTATGTGCTTAATTATTAGGCTAAAAGTCTATACCTGTGACAAGGTCGTATTGTGTGGTTTACAATTAAGTGTTGTATGATGAGAGGTAGACTATTGGCTGTAAGTTGATATTGTTGCACCGTGGTATGTCCGTAGCCGTCGAGCTGCCTGAGTGACAAGGAGGAGGACGAGATATACGGGTTCGCCGGCTACGGTGTCTACGGTAAACAAATGCTGCAGAGACAACAACAACAAGCAAAACTAGTCATCACCCCTAGACAGAACTACCAAAAGTGAGTACTACCAACAACACTAATAACCAATAATAATAACTTGGGAAAAAATTTAATCAGTTTTATACGCGAGGGCCATCCGTCAATTAGAGTCTCCGTTAATCTCCTGTTGCGGTTAAGTGAGCAATTTCAAAACTTGCTGATTTAATCTTAAACAAACCTATAGGCTACCCCCGGCTACCCCCAACCACTGCACACAATTACGCACATTTTTTACTTCAGAACACTTTCCGTCCGATACCTGGCAGTTGACTTCAATCGATTGACGCCTTAGATATCAGAAATCTGAACTCAAAACTCAATTCATACTTGATGGGAGCGTTGATACAAATAAACCAATAAATTCTCCAAACACAATTAAGACAAATCCTACAAATTCTTTGGCTACTAAAACGGGACTAATCTTCGCTTATCGATCAAAACCGGCAAAAATAGTAGATGAAGACACGTCAAATGTCTCATTGGATTCTTCATAGACAAGAGTCTTAGTTTTCATGACCATACCTAATACATAAAAAAACTCAGTTCTGTTATTTCCGTTTGCCTAACCTCAGACACAATGAGAAACTGGAGAATTGAGATACTGCTGACGGCATACTATTGGCTCATTTATCCTCACTTAAGCATACGCCGTTCCTATTTGGGGATGTGAGAGCCAGCAGACTAAAATGATGTTTGAACTAAAAAAAATACTAAGAAATATATACGGCCTTAAATAATGTTTCTATTCAAATATGTTTATATTACCATCTATTTACATCCTACAAGTCTCTAACATGATTTGTGAAACAGGAATTTTCTCAATGTGACTATTCTGTAAAAACCTAATACACATTGTGCAATTCACACACGTTGCCAATTCCTAAACATTAAACAACGGCATAACACTTTTCAACTCACTGGCACTTTATCAAACTTGAACCAAGCCTGTTGAAATAAAAATAAACCACTATAAAAATTTGTGTTAATAAACGAGTTGACTTGATTTCAAGAAAAGCGTGTTGCTAATCTCAGATTTGAAGTATCTCGGCAATGACTGGAGCTCGGGATGGAGACCATTGTTTACGGACAGTCCTCGTTCAGTACTTACCTGTATATCTGTAGCCCTGACTTACCTCTGTGTCCTCAATCATCATTATAATACCGGATGGATGTTGAATTAGAGTTAAAAAAAACGTTTAATTTTCTGTATGTTTTTACACAATACTGTAGATTGATAGCTCTTTTGTATACAAATATATACCTTAAATTCATTAGGTATTTTATAAACATCTAGCTTCCATAAACATTTGCGTTATGTTACATTTTTACCGTATTATACTCTTATTTTTCTTACTTTATTTCTTCTTAATTTTTCCACGACATTATTTCAGGCCTTTTTTGTTCGTGTAAAGTGGTGGATGTTTTTTGTGAATCTTGTACAGTAACAGGTTTTCCCTTAGCTGAATATTAGCCTAACTATTTTACTGAAACTTCTGATATTACCAAAACCCAAACTGAAAGTGTATCCCCCTACTAAGAACATTTATATCCATTTTAATCAACCTGCATTGCAATTTCTATTTTTTAGCACTATACTTGCAGTCACTTAAAATTAAACTACCAAAATATTATAAATGATTAAATATCAATATTTGTGATTAGTGTTGAAATATATGTCTATCCTATGCATATTGATTTGCATTTGTATATCGTTTCTTCTCAATTTGACAGTTTTGATATTCCCGAAAGGGCAAGTCCAATAATGTTTGGCTGCAAATAGCAATTACGTTAGGTAATTACTGTTTGCAATCAACACTTCCCCCTTGACACTCCCACTCCGGTCTTCCGCCAACTTTGATAGCCCTCTCACCAACGCAGAGGGAAAATATTGACCACCACAACATAATTTATCGCAACTAATAACTAATTTATCATATAGTAAACATTTATTGAATCAATCATAATGCAAAAAACTTATTTTTGTTTTAGTAATAAACTATAGAGCCTATAGGTCAAATTGTATATAAATTCACACATGAATTACCACATTGTATGTTTGATAAAAGTATAATCTAACATCTACTATTAATATTTCTAACCTAATTATCTTCTTTTTTATAGCTGTTTGAGTCCAAGATCAGCTTACTTCTATGAGTTTCCTCCAAATGGTGAGTAAAGTAGAAGACTAGTTGACAGTAGCAGTAGCCCATGTCACTCACACTCTGACTTTGTTATGATGACAAATTATGTGATTCTACGAATCAATTTCTACGGTTATGAGATCGTAGTTGCTTGGGTGTAAAAATGTGCATAAATTGCCCGTACTTTATAATTTTTTTATGTTTCATCAAAAGTAAATGCATCGTTTCTTTTGCTCGTGTGTATAGGAGTAAACTAGTAAAAGTTGTAACACAACGTAGTTTCTAGCTATAGGCTAGTGCTCAAAAACGTACTAAAAGTCTTTTCTGTCATACGACTCCCCAAATTCTGTTGCGGCATCGGCCCCACCCAAGTGTGTGAGTGACATGAGCCAAATTTGTCTTTACTTTTGTAAATAAATATCCAAAATGGTATCCAAATTACTTAACTTTGCTATGTTGTTATCAGGTTGGCAGGAATTATTGATGTATCAAACAAATGATCAATGTGTCTAGAAATGAAGTATTTAAAAAAATTGGGTTCTTAATTATTTCCAAGTTTACTCAGATTAGAGTGGAATCAGTCATAACATTCTGTTCCCAAGTATTGTAAAATTACCTTCCCGACCCAATTAGGTTTAAGTTTACTTCATTATTATGTAAACTATACATTTAAAACTTTTTGTTCAAAACTTCTATTTTTGTTCAAATTGAAAGTACTTTCCATTCATTCCAATCATTCCATCAAAATTAACTTCTTAGTACTCTAGACCAATGAATCTCATATTGTTCAAGTGTTTATTATTGTTTGTCCATCCTCAGAGCGACCTGGTAAGAAGAGAACAAGTTTCACGAGGTTTTTGAGGCATTTGACGACGCACAGGAAAGACAAGTCTTCTTCGCCCAGGCAACAACAGCAGCACATGACTATGAGCAGGGTAAGTTGCGATAATTTTCAGCATTTTCCGTGTAATCATTTCTTGTATAACCCCCAAGATAATTTTACCGAACCTATTTTTAATTTTAATTACCGCACATGACTTCTTCATCATAATCATGAGTTTTCTCTCTTTCCCTCTCACAGCAGAAGCTGCAAATCTCCTGACATCTGTGAGGACACAAGGTTCGCTCTCTACTTGTTGTGTCATGCCATCCGTCTTTACTTGTGTTTTTTCAACTATTCGTATTTTTTGCTTTCTTGTATATTTTATCTAAATTTTTGGAGGCCAAAAATGATCAATGTTGAAATACTTTTAAGGGTTGACGTTGAAGGATATAGTTTTGGAGTTTAAGAAAAAAAAATTGTCACTTATTTTTCTTTAGCTATGTGAATGTTTTAAATATTTATGTCATTATATTACATTATTAGTTTTTTCAGAGCATTTCTACTATTTTTAACTTGTTAGTTTAAAACCAAACCCTTGTTTGTGTAGGGAGGAACCCCTGACAACCTCGACACACCCCCTACCCTCCTGCCCCCCATGGACTATGATCGGCTCAGGTATCTGCCAAAGAACCAGAACTCTCCAAACACCTTTGAGGAGACAATACACAGGGTCAGTATGCTTGGATAACATATCTATCTATCCTATGCTTGAACAATACATTACTGTTTTGATCAAGTATATCCAAATCATTAATAACATTTGTTGGGGATTAAATCATAGTACCTGGGGACCGAGCTTTGCTCGGAGAAAATCGTTAGTTCACTCTGAAAGCAGTCTTAGTATCGGAGATACATAAATCTGTTCCCAAACTCCACACGGCTCGCCTTTACAACGTCCTACACCATTTCCTACGTCATGGACCTGTTTTCCTCTATTCCCATAGCACTTTAGGATTGTAGATACCTTAATCTAATCGTTATTAACAGTTCCCACACTCCGGACAGCTCGCCTTGACTACTTCCTTCACCACCTCCAACGTAGCGGACCTGTTTTTCTCCCTTCCCATGGCATTTCAGAATTGCAGATACGTTAATCTAATCGTCATAAACAGTTCCCATGCTCCAAACTAATCGCCTTTACTACTTCCTTCACCACTTCCTACGTCGCAAACATGTTTCCCTCCCTTCCCATTGCATTTAAAGATTGCAGATACATTAATCTAACCGTCATAAACAGTTCCCACACTCCGGACAGCTCGCCTTGACTACTTCCTTCACCACTTCCTACGTCGCGGACCTGTTTCCCTCCCTTCCCATTGCATTTAAAGATTGCAGATACCTTAATCTAATCGTCATAAACAGTTCCCACACTCCGGACAGATCGCCTTGACTACTTCCTTCACCACTTCCTACGTCGCGGACCTGTTTCCCTCTCTTCCCATAGCATTTTAGGATATCCCATACCCGTATCTAATCGTCATAATAGTTCCAACACTCCGGACAGCTCGCCTTGACTACTTCCTTCACCACTTCCTACGTCGCGGACCTGTTTCCCTCCCTTCCCATAGCATTTTAGGATTGCAGATACCCTAATCTTATCGTCATAAACAGTCCCCACACTCCGGACTGCTCGCATTTACTACTTCCTTCATCACTTCCTACGTCACGGACCTGTTTCCCTCTATTCCCATAGCATTTTATGATTGCCTTTACTACTTACTTCACTACTTCCTACGTCACGGACCTGTTTCCTTCCCTTCCCATAGCATTTTAGGATTGCAGCTACCTTAACCCTCCCAGTGTTACTTGACGAAAATTCGACAAGCAGCACACTTTGTGTAGTGTTACTTGTCGATTTTTCGACAAGCAGACATCGTTTACGGCGAAGGCTCTATGACTGACTGAATCGGATTGAACTGGATCGAGTTAGGTATCGTTCTTTCCGTAATATTCTAAGCTTTCTCCAGATGTCTGTCTCAGCGCTTTTTTTTCTCTGAGCCGATCGTAATTAATTGTAGCAGACAGCTGACGTGCGTGGGCGTGTATTTGTAAACAGCTAGGTTACCCTCGGACCGATGACTGATGTGTTTTATTACGTTTATCATTGTTTTAGTATTAAAAATCAAAAGTAGTGATATACGTGTTGCATTATAAGAAGATTTAAGTGGTTTTGAAGTGCTGGTTGATGATCCTGAAGAAGTAGGTAGTGATATTGATGTAAATTATCAGCCAGATTCCTAGCTATGGTTAGGCTATGCATTCTTAGCTAAACGCTATGTACTGAAATCTGTTTTTTGCCCATAACTTATTTATTTGCAAATCTCCTTCCTTATATTATTATATATTTGTAATCCTCATAAAATTTAGAACAAAGTGGCTATTTTCAAATATTTGTAGGCCTATAATTTATAAAATTTCATTGAGCGCGAACTTATTTTTTTTTTTGAAAATTTTCGAAATTGTATTTTTTTTTACCTAAAAATTTTTTTTTTGAAAAAATGTTCCTTATGTTTTATATATAATATTGAAGCCCATGATTTTCCAAACAAAATGGTATATAGAACATTAGAATTAACATTGTTTTAAGCTTCTCAGATCCGTTTTAATAAAACCTTGCAAATGCGCCAAAAATAGGTGGACATTAAGGCCTAAACTATGGACACTTGGAGGGTTAATGTATTCGTCATAAACAGATCCTAGACTTCGCACTGCTACCCTTGACTACAATGTATCGATTAATCTTAAGTATAATCTTTGCTCAATATTAACAATTATTGATGTTTTTCCTTTTGTACTGTATTTGTAATTTGCTAGTATACTGTGGGTAGTTGGCTTATTATGAACACATGCTACAACTTCAAGTCTTTTGTTTACTTTTTCCTTGTTATTTAATTCAGCCAACATGGTTACCTAGCAACCCATAAGACTAATGTTAAAAAAATGTGATTTTCAGTTTCATTTTTCTACGTAATTAGATTTTTGTTGGCAGTTCTAACTGCATGAAACTCGTTTTTAGGCCAGAAATGAACTATTTACAACATTTGAAGAAAATCGTCGGAGCCGTTTTCGAGATCTTTGTGCAAGCAAGCAAACATTGCTCGTATTAGAGTATAGGATTTATACTAGAGAACCCATGCTGCTCCGCAGCGTTAAAATAAATATAATATCCCAGAAAAAAAAATCAAATTTATGATTTTTGATTGAGGGATGAAGATACTGTATTAGGTAATACAGTATCTTAATCGCTTAAATAAAAGCCGATATTTCACTGAAAACTCTTAGACCAAAATATATAGGATAATATAATTATAACTGGTGAAATACATCTTGAATTGATGTAAGAGTTTGAAAATTAATTAAATTATTTTTGTAGCCGAGTAATACAGTAGGTAAGTAAGTATATGCCGATGCTTGATGTGAAATCTTTGCGTGCATGACTTCAATTTGAGACCTCAATCATGAAGATCGGTCGGGTAGAAGAGCCAAACGAACTCAGGAAAGAGAAACCAAATTTAACTCCCATAAGAAATATGTGGGAGCAAATTTTGTTTACGTATAAACCGAGTGATACTATGGATAATTACATGCCAATGCTTGATGGCAAATCTGTGCGTGCATACCTTCAATTTGAGACCTCAACCATGAAGATCGGTCGGGTAAGAGAGCCAAACGAATTCTGCAAAAAGAAACCAAATTTAACTCCCATAGAAATACATGGAGAGCAAATTTCGTTTACGTATAACCTGAGTGGGATTATAGATAAATACATGTCAATGCTTGATGTCAAATTTGTGCGTGCATACCTTCAATTTGAGACCTTAACCATGAAGATCGGTCGGGTAAGGGAGCCAAACGAACTCGGCAAAAAGAAACCAAATTTACCTCCCATAAGAAATACATGGAGAGCAAATTTCGTTTACATATAAACCAAGTGATACTATAGATAATTATATGCTGATGTTTGGTGGCAAATCGATGCGTGCATACCTTCAATTTGAGACCTCAATCATGAAAATCGGCCGGGTAGAAGAGCCAGCCAAACGTAGTCGGAAAAGAAAAACACAGTTTTTTTAAATATATAAGATAAATATGATGAACCTTAATAAAACATCATACATGATAAATGATATAGGTCCCAATAGAATTTTACTATTATTAAAATAATAAAGTTTAAATGAATATAATTTATAGAAAAATAATATAAAAGTTCATCCTGTATGATAACAATAAATAATACTATGCCAATTTATAGTTTTGATAATATATTGTTTATTATAGAACTGGAAAGTATAAATTATTGCTATAATGTTTTTTCCATTCTATATTATATGCTGAAGTCAAAGGAAGAGTTAACCGTTGGTATAGAATCTGGCTTGGCAACAATACTATTTAGTACTGTTTAAAAAAGTTCCTACTAACAAATAGCTTATTTGTATCTGTATAGTTTTGTCATGTTAACAATTTATTAACCTATTTTACACCGTATGCAAGATTTTTTTTTTTCATTTTTGGCCTAAATTATTAATTATTTTAATCTTAATAACTGTTAAACCTTATGAAGACTTGAGTTTGGCCATATTAAAATTATTACTGGTATTAAAAATATAGCAAAACATAAAGAACTGTTGTATCTCACTAATTTCCATGTAACCAAATATATGTGTATGATAAACTTACTTTACAAATTCCATCTCCCTCCTTTTATTTTCTGTTGTAAAATAGTGGCATCCTTGTAACATTGACATTGTTTTTACAGCTAAAAATTCAAGAAGCTCTGAAAAAGAAAGAACGCTTTGACAGAGAACATGAAGAGGTAAATATATACTTTATTATTGTATTTTGCTTAAAGGTTTGCTGATAGTTTTTGTAAATCATTTCATAAATTATAACTTATTTATCCATTCTGCTTATTACTAAACTCAACATAAAATATGGTGCTAACTATTATAAATTGAACATTTAAAATTATTGCTGTATTCATTAGTTAACATAGAAGTAAAATATATACACTAAAGTATTATATGTCTTTACAACTTTCATTTATTATTCTCAATGATCTCATAGTATATCAGTATTTATATTTAATACATCGTCAACATTTATATTGGTCAAAATACTTTTTATATAAAATTTATTTTACAAATACCTACTTTTACTGTGATGTATTTAATAGTTTTGAATAAAAGAGAATAACAGTCCAAGTGATTTTTTCAATAGACTTTTTCAAGTTAAGTTCAATAGACATTTAGAGATATTGTCTGCAATTTCACTGTTACACAAATTAACATTAATGACACTAGTTTATCACATAAAAAATGAAATAATTTTGTATTATGCTAGGAATTTTTAATAATTTATTTTAACTGGCCAACGTTAAATAATATCAGTCCATGCTTTTGACCTTAATAAAAAAAGCTAAAATTGCCTCTAATATCAACACACATACAAATAAACCAAATTTACTTTCATGATACTAAATAAAATGGGTAGAATAATACAAATTTAGGAAACAATTTGCTAGACTTGTGGTTGTATTTGAATGGTTTCCCCAGATCTTGAGGGATATCCGACAAGGACTGCTGCAGCTGGGACGTCAGCGCAACCGCTCCAGTGATGACACGTACATGTACGATGACGAGATGCAGAGGCTCGGCCAGCACTGGTACGACGAACCTCCTTACGAGAGCGACCCAGAGGACTTCTTGATGGCCGACACTGCTAACAACAGCAGGTACAAGAAAAACAATGCTACCCTTTACGAGATCTCTTTAACATTTCAAACATGAAATGAAAGTGTTTCTAAGTAAACAGTTTGAAACCTGCTTTTTCTCCCAAGTAGTTTTATGTTTTCACTGGTTTAGTTTGTTGTATCTTAAAAATGTACCTTGAGCTTATTACAAGGTTCTTGAGAAAGACAAGAAGCTTCAAGGCATACTTATACTTTTGCTGGAAAACTGAGAAACTGAAGTCTTTTTCGGTTTATAAAAAGACCAAGATTGTTCCTCTTGCAATATGAGTGCAGTAAATAACAGACTTACTATGCACATGCAAATGATACTTTTATCACATGAATCTACCTTCTCACAAGGTTCTTGTTCCACATGAAATATGCCTGCCAATAGCTAATCTACACTAGCTGCTACACTAGCTTAGTAAACTTCACTTATCCTTATACTGACAATATTCTCCGTATTCAGGGTGTGTTTTACACTGAACGTGCGCACTGACGGCCGCAGTTCTGGCGAGAGTGCTGTGATTTCCCTCCGTAGCGCAGGAGACATCTCCCTTCCTCACCACCAGAGAGGGTTGTTGCTACCCCAGTCTGGTCCATACCCTCCCACGCTCATCCCGCTCACACATGCACGAAACCATAGAGAGAGTGGAGATTATGCTGCCTCCGACGTCCAGAGCATTTGGTGAGGGTCTTTAAAAATATCTTTAGTGCCTTTGGAGTTTTTAAGGTTTTTTTTCAAGAGACCACTCAAAAATCCTCTTGTACCTCCAAGACAACAAAGGTATCCAGCTTGTATGTTGCTCAAATACATCTTTGTACTATTAAGCCAAAATTTGTTTCAATTAATTATTGTCAATATAAACTTTTATGCCAAATTCAGACAATAGTTTTTAAATAATCTTGAATATTTCGAATTTATGCTTATTCAATATTTCTAATAAAGTGTTAACGGTTTTTAGTTCAAGGCTCTCCTCTCTATCCATGGAAACAAGTCGATCAGAAACCACTGATCCCTACCAGAGGTTACGATCATACAATGTAAGTAGCCAACACAACGCCAATAATCATTATTGGAATTAAAATAGAATTAATCACATTGTTTTTATGAACATTTGTTTACATAGTTTATTTTATAATCATTTTTTGTGGAAGTATACACTATTTATTTTTTTTGTTGCTAAATTATGTTTTTGTTACATCCTATAGATAATTACTTCCTTTGTCACTTCCTAAAAAAATGGTTTCATGATTTCTTTTATCCTGTATTTAATACTATTATTAAGATAATATTAACAAACATAAAATCATAAAACTTTATTTTTTGAGCAAGTGAAACTTCTGTGTAGATTCGAGTTTAAAAAGTATCTACATCAGAATATTACACATTCGCTAAATGGAAGTAAAATGAATTCCTCTCAAAGGTATCTTTGTTATTAACTTTCCCGATATGAGTAGCAAGTATCAAAGGCCCCCTAACACAAGCAGGGATACAGTAAATGATTCCTCCTCAAGTTATGAGAGGGCAAAGTTGCCAAGTACAGTAGTAAAGCAGTTTATGACATTGCGGTTATAACAAGACTCTAATAAACTGTCACAGAACAGTCTTGTGCCATCTACTGAGATTCCTTGTAATAAAGACTTAGGAATCTCTGTTACTCCTTGGCATTTATGAGCGACTTGTTTCTTACCTCTCTTGTTTGTTGCATGAATTTAATTTTAGTGTCTTAGTTTCCAGTTTGAATCACATTTAATATATCAAGATGTTTCTGAGATGTTAATCTGGATATGTTTTGTAATTTCTTGAATGGGATATGTAACTTAAAATCACTTTAGCATTTTCATGTAAACTACTACATGCATATTGTTGTTTTGTGTTAACAGGGAGTAGAGTCTGCCATTTCTCCCGGCCACAGCTCTGACTACGCTGAACAAGATGAGTTAGTCACTGTGCATTCTTCTGTAAGTAACTTTAATCAATAAATTATAATACCTACTCTGTTTATACACCTTGCTCAGTCAACTCAACAGAATATAAAATTTGTCTACCTTATAAGCCAGGATCTGCAAGTCATGTTAAAGTTTATACATTGAAATAATATACTCGAAAAGTATATTCTTCCATTGCAATTGCAATTTTGTATGCAAGATATATATTGTTGACTAGGTCTTAGCTAATGTCTATCATAAAACATTATCATTGCAAATAAAACCTGAGTTTAAAAAACAATAAATATAGAATTTAACACTTTAAAACAGACATTGTAACACCAATTCAGATGAAGTTTAATTGTCTGTATTATTGTTGTGGGATAGTAATTCATTTGGGCTAAATCATCATTGTTTTATGATCAATTATTGATGAAATTTCTGATTTACAAATGATTGCAGTGTGGGAACAGCTCCATGGCCCACAGAGTGAGAGGGTTGAAGGGTGACAACACCACAGGCAAGGTAATATCCTCCCGACACCCTCACCATCATCACCACCATCACAACCACAACCACCATCACCACAGGCACCACAAGGAGAGGTCTCCCGAGGTGGCCCACCACAGCTCAGCTGAGAGTCTGCCCAGCGGATCCAGTGAGTATGCCTTTCAATAGTGTTGCCATCTTAAATGAGGGTAGATTTAGTTACTAAAGGGTCAGCAAGTTTAAGAAATTATTTTCTGAAATTTTAGTGATTATTGTCATCAATAAAGTGAATTTAGTGGGAATGATCATGGTTAAAATATTTACGATTGAAAGAAGGTTGAAATTTACGATGATGCTCATAAGTTAATATGGAGCTCAAGGAAGTATACCGGTTGTGGTTTTAGTTAGTTTATTATAATTACACTCACGATTCAGCAATCCATAGTTACATGTTCAACAGCCACCATAAGAATGATATCAAAGTAAATTATGTGGATACAATTAAAATGAAGTCACGATGTAAGATTGGAATGTGGATTTGGAAGTTTACCATATTTATAATACTTTTATTAAGGTAGCAAACCAAATCCACCCATATTTTTCTGGGTACGGTACTATAGTGCATGTTATTGTGTTCTGTTGTAACGTGGTTTGTCACCGGCCAGATACAGTAATGACTTCTTTGCAGGTACACAAGCCCTGGTACCTCCCTCGTCCAACCCAAGTTCTGAGGAGTCCCACAGTCCGTCTGACAAGTTAACTGTCATCGCCAGAGCAAGAGCCCTTGTAGATTACACACCAAGTCCTTATGACAAAGATGTTCTCAAGTTTAAGGTTTGTGCCTAAATGTTTACTATATATTCTATTTTTCCATGGGGTAGTATAAACTTGAAGTAGGCCTACCTTTCAGTAAGACTAATCTGTTAATAATTGCATCATTATACAGTTCAATTGTTTTCTGGTTTCTGAAGTATAGAAGTTGTTGAGCGGAACAAGCATAGCCCTTGTACTATGCTCCAGCTATTGTTTTCGAAATACTCCTTCTAAAGGCTGAAGTGATCCGGATGAAATTTAATAATGTCATAGTAACCAACTACGGTGGGGATGAATCTGAAATCATAAAAATCAGACTTCGTAGCATTGCTCTAAGTGAATTTATATTTTTCATAATTTGCTTAATCTGTTGAGTATAATATACTACAAAATGAATAACTTATTAGGTCTATATACCATTGACTTTAGATACTGCAAGTAGACACCCATTGATGTGAACCGGATGTAGCATTCACTTTAAATACTGCACATACACATCTTGTTCACGTTAACCAGATGTAGCGTTGACTTTAGATACTGTATTGTAAGTATAGACACCAATTTATGTGAAATCAAGATCATCCGCAACAATTTGTGGTACTACGTTTGCTCCGCTCAACATTGCAAGCAGACAGTTGCATTGTACATCTAGGTTTCAAATGCTATCCCTGACAATCAATATACTATAAACTTTATATCAGAATACTATAAACTTTATCATTAGGGCAAAAGTCTCAGTTCTGAGTGTGTAGAACAAGCTGTGATTAGCTAAACTGTACTATCGGGAAAGAAGCCTGTCCCCAAAAAAGAAATATAAATTGAAATTATGATGAAAAAGATAATAAATACTTTATATGGTTTTAATCTTTCAATCTTTTACTTAATAATGCAATTAAAAATACAATACTAGAATATTGCTAGATAAACCCCTCTATCAATTCCAGAAAGGAGATACGATTGAGGTTTTATCAATGAACGCCAGTGGGCTATGGCGGGGGCGAGCTCACGGCAGAGTTGGTAACTTCAAGTTCATCAATGTAGAGCTGCTCACAGAGTCTTCACTGAGACCACGGCCTTGCAGACACAGACCCCAGACATTGGAGCAAATGTTAAGAACCATACATATGGAGGTACACTACACTAGGATACTGTTTACTGTGATTTTAGTTGTTAGAGCGCAGAAACATTGGCCAAGTCTCTCCCAAGGACCAATCCCATCAATGAATAATTGTTCTCAATTATGTGATAATAATAAAGGTTAAGCATTAGGAGCTGATTGGTATAGCAGAAAAGTATAAAAACAATATTTAAATTTATCAACATTAAATGAGCCTATGAAATCCTATTTGCAATCATACTATTATTATTTGTTGGACTCAAGATTATTTACTGTGATGTATAAAATAAATAGTTACTTTCATTTTCTTTTAACAAAAATGTAACTACTTAACATACTATTAAAAAGCAGTCCAGCATTATCATTCTTTCTGTAGCTGGAGTAGATATTAGGACTTTCTGTCCCAATCATGGTTTATTGTTTACCAAGAATTATCAGTGTTAAAGAACCCAATAATACTGAAGAGAAGTAATGACATCCGAGAATAAATAAATAAAAAGTAGAGAAATAATTTTTATTAAGTTTTATAATCATACATAATAATAATTCTTCAATGCATTCTATTATGTTTCAGGATCACATGTCTCTGTTTGTTCTCAATGGATATGAAGACTTGGATGCTTTCTGTGAGATCAAGGAGGCAGACTTAGATTATTTGAACATCCATGACCTACAACAGCGAGCTAAGATACTAGCAGCTGTACAAGTACTTAATGAATATGAATGTGAGTATTATACTTTATCATGAGCCTTTAATAAAAACATAATATGCAAGCAAAGAGGTATTTAAAAAAATGTGAGTAAACTATTATAAAATTTGGCAGTAAAATTATGACTTGTTTTTTTCTGAGAGTCAAATGTCAACTTAAGCTACTGTGAATATAATTTATATATCTAGAATAAAATCTAGAAACAGGGATGAACAAAGATATAATGCTTTTTATTCATTATAATTATTTTTTTTTAAGAGGTTGGCGGCCTCTTTTAACCTTGCATTTGCCCATCCACATAGACTAAGCGCCCGTGCGTGGATCGTTTACAGCAAAGCAAGGAGTGAGCCGGTACAGTACAAAGTTGAACTGTACTGATAAAATGTTATCGGCAGTGACCAGGATCCGAACCCACGACACTACTGCCTTGTGCCCGAAGTCCGCAACGCTACCGACTAAGCCACCGACTCACTAGAACTGAGGGGAACAAGCATAATGAATTATAACATAACGTCAATGTATAGTTATCATCATCTTTCAGGGGGAAGAAGTCATTATTATCCAACTACCTTGTTTCTTCATTTCAGTTAATATTTATCGCAACTAGGTCTACTTTACATGATTCTTAATATTTTTCATCTATTTTTGTGAATTAACAAACCTAAACAAAACTTGTTTTCTAGCTCCAGACGAATGTGGAAGCAGTGCAGACGAGGGACAAAATTCCCAGTGCGGAACTGAAAATGAAACCCAAGCAAACAACCTTGGTGTAAGTGAAAACACCACAACAGCTACAATCAACTGTAAGGAAGCTGCTCAAGTAATGCAGCAGACCTACCTACCAAACATCCCTCTGCGGTCCAGCCACACCCTGGAAATGGACGTGTTTAGTGAGAAGACAGCTGGAGACACGGTGGTGGAGAAAGTAGGAGTCGTCAAGTACATCGGGCAAGACCTGAGCTGTGAAAGCGGCAACCCTCAGAACCGCAACTGCTCAACACTGAGCGAGAAGTCTAGTGACTCAGGGGTAAGTTCTAGCTCCCTGTCGTCATCCAATCACAACGCGACTAGAAACAAGCAACGTAGGAGTGGGAGCAAGGCAACGCTCATAGAGAGTCCGACACGTAGCTACGTCGGCCATTATATCTCTGACAGGAAGGATTGATCTTCTTTCATCATCTGTCTGTTGAGGAAAATATACAAAGACTTGTGGGAGACTAGACGAATTAGAAGCTTGAAAAGGCATTTGTTCTAGTTTAACCAAATTATATTAACTTGTCTTGTAGTATAATTCAAATTAGTAAATAAAAAAAAAACATGTATATTTTAAAACATAACATATTTAAATCTAAAATAACTTAACAAATTGGCATAAAATGTATTTGCCATCACATTCGAGTCCATATTGATTTATTAAAATAAAGTATTGACTAATCCAGTCACCATTAAACATTCAATAAGATTTTGAATGAAAAGCAAATTTATGATATACCGTAATTAGTTAGATTTAATTAGTTAACTTTATTTACACTCCCGTTTGGCATTTTTGTCTGATTATTATAACTCGTGTATTTGTCTTTTAATTTTCCTTTTTTTAATTTTCGGTCATCTGTTTTGTCCACAGATGATTTTTCAAGTAAACGAGAAAGCGTCCATTCCAGTCGGAAAAACATAACACCGGTTGGTGAAGAGGTTTACCCAACAACTTTCTTCACCCTCTGACTGACTGCGGTGTCAAATACAACAAAGCCAATTGAAATCTATATTTTGATATCAAAGTGAATAATTTAATTAATTTTTACTTGGGGATATATAGTTCAATGTCAAATGTCAAACCTGATTACATCATATCAACCAAAAATGCTATATTGTGCATAACCTTAAAATATGTGCATTGAATTTGTATTTCTTTTCTTTACTCTTTATTGATGTTTTGTCCCTTTTATGAACCGTATTCTGATTTCAGAATTTCTGTACTATTTCACTTAATTAATTGTATTTGAATAATCAATATTAAAAATGTTTAACCAAATCATTAGTAACAGATGAATAACATATTTTGATTCACTATCCCACCAGTTATCCAATAGTTTATAAAGTAGGGCCTTGACTTTATTTTGTATTTTTGTAATATTTAAAACTTATTAAAAACGGTTACTTTAAAAAGAAAATGCGTTCTAAAATCTTGCAATCAAAAAATTTACATAGTAAAATATTCAAATTGAACAATCTTTGTTCAATTTCTTCAACTACAGTTACACAAAGTGACAAACCAACACCCAAACTATATAACTTCCTGATCCCTATAAGACAAGTCTTTCATATTTTGAGTTTGTCCAAATTTGGACTTTATTCTGTATTTAGCATTATAAATGTAAATTTATATAGTGTAGATTTATTTTAGATAATGTATACCAAAGTGATCCAAGAATATGTAAATTATTTATGATAAAGTATTACTATTTATTGCAGTGTTTAATCCTTTTACAACAGTTTTTAAGCATTGTACTGTTTTACAGTGTTCCAAACCAAAGTAGTGATATATTAATTTGTAAATATTAAAGGTGTAGTTAAAATTTTAATTTTATTAAGTAGTCTAATGATAATATTGTGTATAGAGAGAAATAAATATTTGATTTGTTATTGATTTAGGTGTAACCTTAGAAAAGGTAATGGATCTACTTTGAAAGAAAGATTTTGTTTTTCCCTGTACAAATATTTTCTACGTATAAATTAAGTACTCATAAAAATCATCTTTTTGCTTTCTGTTTCTGAAACTATCATTCAATATACGTTCATGACCTATATGAACAGTAAGCTAAAGAGAACTTCTTATAACTGCCATGATTAACCTATAAGACAACAACTGAAATAGTATCATAGTTCCTAGTAATATTCCAATTTCTGCTATTGACGCCCTTGTACAATAGTCTAGGTTTTTCTTAATACATTTTGTAATATTTTTTTATACAAACAATATGTTTACAATGATATGTTACTAGTTCTTAAAATAAATCGTGTTTGATATTATTATTTAATTGACCTTTACATAGTATTTTTGAAGCACTGTTTTAGAATATATTTACATGCATGTATACTTAAGGCCTAGAATTTATTTATTAAGAAACAATTTCTAAAGTTTTTAAACATAACTAAAGGATTATAATTTAAAAGCATTTTTGACACTATGAAGCAGCCTATTACAACTTTTAATAATTGCATTTATGTTTTATAACAAACCTGAATAATTATTTTAGCAAGTAAATAGGGGATGTACACCCATACAAATTACGTACATGCTATGTCTCAATCAGCAATTCGATGTAAGTTAAAAATTTATTTTACCCCTTAGAGAAAAAGTTGAAAGTCATCGAAAGTATCCTTAAAACTGAAATTAAAATGTATTAGAAAAACTTATTTAAGTAATGTAGTATCCTTATTATTTAGGACAATCATTTATACGAATATTCGGTACAATGTTTTGGTAGTTGAAATTAATGTAAATGTAGTTAAATGTAAGTATTAGTTTAATTGTAATTATTTTGAGCTGTGACATATGTGTACATGTAAAATAAGATTTAAATATAAAGAGGGTTATTATATTTTGGTGAAAAGTCTATCAAGATTTCATGTTAAGAGAGTGATAAGTTGTAAAAGCAATCGTATTGTGGTTACCAAAATTTCAGTGGGTGAAATTCTGCCAATTAGCACATGCATGTTATATATGTTGGCTTGTGCAAAGGTTTTAAGTGTATGTTACTTTTTAACTTGAATTAGTTGAAGTTCGCATTTAATTTTTTCTTTTAAGTATTTATCCATTAAAGTGACATTTATTTTTGTTAAAGTTTGTTAGACATTAGTAGACAATTGTAAAGACAATTTTGTAAAATCCCTGTACATATTGAAGATTTATATCTGAAATAAACATGTTATATCTTTATAGAAATGTCTGTTATTATTTTGACTCCCATTTAACCTTACAAATTTTCAAAAGCGAATAAGATTGACTATTCAAAAGGGTAACATAAAATTTAATAATAAACTATTTTGAATCTATATATAAAGCTAACAAAGATCCAAAGTTTTAGAAACCCATAAGCTGCACACCTATCAACCGCATTCTTCAATGAAAGGTCTTGATATGAATCTTTCCCAAAAAATATCAGTCATCTCCATTATGGGCAGGAACCTCAATTAAAGGGCTGTATTTAATCACATTTAAAATATTGAAGATACATCAGCTGTTAGATTTGTTTTTGTTTTAGTTTGTATATTTAGTTTTCTTTGAGTTAACTTTTGATTCTACCATGGATTTTATATTGCATAAAAAGAGGTGACAGTACGTTTTACTTATAATTTGGGATAGTGTTCAAACCTTTCAATTATGTTTAAATTGTTTACTTACTAGTTCGGACGCGTTGCAGAAAGTCAACAGTCCCGGAAGGTCAAATAATTTTTACCTGTGCCGCTAGGTCAAAAACTACAATGTTTGCAGTGTCTGTAGATCAAAAATCCCAGTAAGTCAAATAGTACAGTCCGGGCTAAAAACGTAGTCTATGTTAAAGCTATTGACTTATTGGGAATTTGACCTAATGCAACAGCAGTTTTAATATAACGAAATAAGATAAAATATAAGTTCAGTTTCACTGAGTCAACAGTGCCGGAAGGTCAAAAGTATAATCTGTTAAAAACAACGATAGTCCTCTCGACGCATGACTTCAATAATTTCATGTTTTGGTGTACTTAAAGTTGTGCTAAAATTTTGAAATTTGGCACAGAGCTTCTTGGTTAGTCCTACTCGATGACTATTTTGTTGGAACTTTAAACTATTTACCGATCTAATTAATAAAAATTGATTTGTATGGTGAAATGGTTTTAAATCGTGATTTCTAACATAAAAATGTTAGCATGCGAGATTTTTTTTTGTTTTTGGGTTAGAGAGGTTTTGTCTGTAGCAAAGTTGTAGCCAAAGGTGTGATGCGTAAAATGTATTTTTTTGAATTTTTTACAATCAGTGGTTCAATAGATAACTTGGGTTGAAGAGGACGGCAAATTTAGCATTTCGCAACGCATGGAAAGACTACATCGTACGATGCGACTGCTGAGTGGACTTTTAATTTACAGTTCTAAGAAAAAGAAAAAGATGAATATACAGATCACCAATACATTCATATTATTTATAAAACATCTTTCTGTATTACCAGCTTACATTTTTCACTTATAAGAATACATCATAAACAGGGTGTTAAAATAAGCGGGGAGATACTTTACCTAGTACATAATTCCTTGGGTCAAATAATAAACAGAAAATCAAGAATAACATTTTTTCCAAAATCGTTTCGTTAACCAGATATCCGCCATTTTGTATTTTTTACATACAAATATTTATCTTTACACTTTTCCAACCGATGTTTATGAAACTTGGTATGTGTGTTAAGGTAGGAGAGACCCATGTTATAAACAATGATTCATCTCGATTCACCCTAAAATTTCAAAATTTAAAACTTAACTACAATATAATATACTTTACTACACCACAATATTTACGTACCTATCACCATAAATCTTTAATAAAATAAAACGTTCACATTTTTAAAATCCAAAGTAAATAAGTATAATCTTTCTTTTTTGAAAAATATAGTAAAAAAATAAGGCAATGTTAAAATAACGACAGGCGAGTTTCGATCTGGGTGTTTCAGGTTTGAACCTAGGAGGATTTAACATTAATTAACATTAATGTTTAATCCTCCTAGGTTTGAACTGATTGAGAGGAATACATGAAACCGAAGGGGGGAGGTAGCAACAAGTGCACTAGTACTTACTAGTGTCCAATTACAATTTGATGGATTGAACCAAAAACCTTTTCTATTTCACTTATTTTCAGCTGTTAAATTTCAAACAATACGTTGTAGCTACATCATCATCATCGTTTGAGTTTGGGTTTTACCGTTTTCACATGAACAGCGGTTACCCGGTATATAAGGAACTAGGTGAAAGCCATCGAAATCGACGGTTGGGGGCCTCCTCGTTTATATGGTCGTGTGGCTTCATTGGCAACAAATAATGCAAATCAAATAGCAATATGGCATTTTCAAAGAGACTTAAATTGGCTGTTACGTAAATATTGACGTTTACATGCATTTTAATCAACTTATAAAGGATAATGTGATCTAGTTTAAAAGAAATATGACCTTTCTGTCATGACAGTAGCTGTTTAAATAGTATTTACTCTTCCAGCCAAAATATCGTGTTACTTTCAATGATGTTACCAACCCAGTCGGCCACGGTCCGTAATATAGCCCACTGCAAATAATGTGTCAAGATATGTACCATTTTAGGCAAGGTTTTTGTGTTTGGATGTTATTAGACACGATAAGAGCACACTGAACTTCTTCTGCAGATGAATAACTGTTGGAGAAATATAAGCCGATTCATAAATTAATGTCACAATGCGAGTTTGAGCATTTTGTAACTATATGAGAAAGTTACATAGTATTTCTTAGACTGATGCTCAGTGCACTTTAGAATATGTTTTTTAGAGATAAATTAAATTATTTTCGTTGCTGAGTAGCACTAGTGAACATGCACAACGCTTTTTCGTTAGCCTAATAACATTCAAAGGCTCTCTAAGAGTTCAAGAAAATAACATTGCAAATACTTCCTTTGGACAATTCAGTAACTCTCAATAAATGTGTGTTGTTTAAAATACTATTTAAAAATGAACAGCTGTTTAATTAAAAAGTATTATCCACATGGCTAAAATGTAAACAAATCTGTGGAGGTATCTTTTAAAGGCTTCTGGGGCAGAGCCCTAAGGGAATTTACTTCGTTTTTCTTTTGATAACTCATCTACAGACCAAGACATTTCTTTGGACAACTCTACTAAGTTTCTACGCCCAGTCGTTCTCTTAAATTAGTGGAGACAAAGTTTCCAATTAAATATTTAGATTCCCCCATGTTAATCTTAAGGGAGAAAACCCAACTTTGATGGAAGATCCAGCCCGAACTAATAAAGATTTCCAAAAAATAAAAACACTGTGCATAACTACAGATCAGGGCCATTCTTTTGACACTTTAATCATCAAAATCGGTCCAAAAATGAGGGAGGAGTTATGTTTACAAAAATCGGCTTAGCGAGCGTATTATATAATATAGATAGATGGTAATAATGGATGGTAAATTTATTAAGAAAACAGTATGTTTTTGAATGAGAATTACCCATAATATCACGTTTCACAAAATAAGGTTGTCCAATTTTCTTTATAAAACTTAAAATGTTCAGGCAGTAAAAAACTTCACCATTTTATCTAAGCCTATAAATAGTAATATAAAAGAACATTTAAACTAAATTATTTGAACAGTTTAACCAAACCAAGCCACTTTGAAAAATAGCTGTTAAATATGGGTGTCTTCATTATTTATTACCATTTCGGGACTTAGTTTCCACAATTTAATTAAATTATTGTATTTCAGTCACCAACAATGGATGAGGTAATCGTTGAAACAGCTAAATCAATGAATAAATAACTCAAGTCACCTGTTGATTTAAGATTTGTACAAATGGGTTTTCATACAAGAACGGTTTATCGCAAGAATAAATAGTTTAACCTTTACATGTATATATCACTGAAAAGAAAAACTTTTAAAACGTTATATTTCAACAACACTGGATTATAGGCCATTTTTCAATTAGGTACAGTACTTGGTTTTGAGTTTGGAAACCTAAACTATTGCAATCCAGCTGTCCGTTTCCGAGAGATAGAAGTATGTAACAAAATATGTTCCATTAACTGAATAACAAGAGTTGACAGCATATTTCCTACCCAGTCAAAAGAATTAGAGAAAACTTTAAATGGAGAACATTCCTTTATTTTTTGTGGTAGTTAAAAATACGATTTTAGTATTTTGAAATTCAGCCGCCATTTTCCAAAATGGTGGCCAACTTTGAAATTTCTTGTAAAACACCCTATATTTTATCATGTTTTCGTATAGAATATGCAATTTAAAAAAATTTTTATACTTGGCATTTTTCGATAAACACACTCGTTTAGGAGTTACAGCCTATGGAAAAATGACTTCCGGTGTACATTTTACATCATGTAGCGCCTAAACAAGTAGGTTTATAGCGAAAATGTAAAGAGTAAAAAAGTCTTAAAATTGCATCCACATTCCAAAAAAACCATAATTTTTTTTTTAATATTCATTACCTATATTATTTCAATATTGGCGGTCATTTTCTAAAAGGGCGGCAAAATTGGAAAGTGGAAAACTGTTTATTTTATAGTCTTTATGGAATGTAGATGCAATTCTATGACTAAATTACTTCTTGCAATTTTGCTCTAAACTTACTCGTTTAGGAGCTACATGATGTAAAATGTACACCGGAAGTCATTTTTCCATAGGCTGTAACTCCTAAACGAGTGGGTTTATCGAAAAAGTGTCAAAGATAACACAACATTTTAAATTGCATATTCTATCCGAAAGCATGATAAAATATGGGTGTTCCAGAATAAATTTCTAAGTTGGCCGCCATTTTGGAAAATGGCGGCTGAATTTCAAAAAACTAAAATCATATTTTTAACTGCCAAAAAAATAAAGGAATGTCCCCCATTTAAAGTTTTCTCTAATACTTACAGTTTCCGATTACCCAATGGTGGGGGGCCTCCTTAAGTTGATCACCCTGTATATATGAATTTAAACGGATGGTGTTTTTGGCCTCTAGGGACCTCAAAACGAAAAATTAAATCGGTCCCGGGTCCAGGTGTTACCATGAGTACTACGGTAATAGCTTATTCGCTATATGCGAAATTCGCTAAAAACCTAATAGTTCTATAGAATAACTAGCTGTACCCGCGGGCTTTGGCCCGTTTAACTTATTAATTTTCAAGATGAGCTCGT